TTTTTTTTCCGCTTCTAATTTATGTTAACTTTGCTAGCATACATAAAATTTCAGTCTAAATATAACTTTCAGAAATAAATTTTATAAATTCCACGCAAATTATTCAATCCCTATGCTACCCAACCCATTAAAGTATTAGAATACCAACCAGTTTGTTTATTTACAAATTGAAAATCGTGAAATAAAATGCTAAAATGTTGATATAATAAAATGTTGATATAATCGTGAAATAAAATGCTATTGCATCAAAAATAAGAAATCAAGAAATGAATGAATAAACATAATAGAAAGAAAGATGAAAAGAAAAGGATGGGATAAGAAAATCAGAATTAAATATAAATTTGTAAAAGATAAAACTAAATATGAGAAAGAAAGAAATATCGCCTATTATCCAGCTAACTGATTACTTTTACTTTTGAATATTAAAACAAAAAGCTAATTTTCTCTTTTGTGATATTGGATAAATCCTTGGTAGTGGAATGATAATGACTGGTTAATACAGAACATTCTTATTAAGTAATATATTTAAAATGCATGAAATAAATGCAACAGTATATACGATAATAAAATTCAAATTATTTTTTGAAGTATTGAAACTTTGCTTCAAGTTTAATTAGCATATTCAAATTCAAATCACTGCTATTACTATTATAATTACTACTTAAATGTATGATAGTTTTTTAAAAATTATTTTTTCATACGACTGCAAAATTTGATACTTGATTAAAACATAGAAATGTGTTACACAACTGTTAGTTTAAATTTTCTACAGTTATTTAAATTTTTTCAATCCTATTTCTAAAGCGCTAATAATTAATTGCCTTCAAATTTTCTCCAAAAATTTAGATAATTTATTTTCAAATTTCAAATCCATAATTATTTGGGTTATCTTAAAAGTTCTACCTATATTCATATGTCAACGAAATGATAACTGATATTGCACTCTTTCAAATCATCAATTTTTAGAGTACTGTTAATTTGTCTTACCTAAAACCAATTTATCCTACTGATCATTGAATCATATTACAAAATTCTAACTTCTCTTATTAAGTTCGCTGTCGTTTTGTTTTAATTGCTCTATCCGATAATTGGTTGCTAAGAAGCGATAATTCGAAATGTTTCAAAGATTTGAAATTTTAGAAAATACGATTGCATTTAAAATAACAACACATGTATTCATTAATAAAAAAGGGGCAATAAATAGAAAGATAACTGATGAATATGTAACAGTTTATTTCAAATTTATTAAAATGTAAATAAATGAAAAAACGCTGAGAAATTCATAAAGCAATAATTAATAAAGATTTCTAAATTATTACATTTTTTCTTTTCTTTTTTGTTACGCGCTCCAAATTTGTTTCGTAACTGTATGCCAGTCTGCAGTTTCATTCTTCTTTTCATCTCACCACAAATATCATCATATGATGATAATTAATGAGGAGTGTGAAATGGAAAGAAAGATAACAGGGAAAATTCTTTCAATCATATTGATTTCATTAATTACCGTAATATTGAATTTTTTTTTTTACTAAATTACTGACTTTTACTGGACATTATAGAAAATATTTGTTTAATTGGATCAAATGTTCGGAAAATTTCAGATAAAATGAAAATCATTTTTCAATGAAAAAGAAATAAGTTGAAATTTAATGATTTGATTGAAATGTAAAGATGATCAAAAGATAAGCGATAATGAATGAAGTGTAACCATAAAGAATTGTTATCTAAGCTAAATAGCAATCTCTCAAACTTCATTCATTTTCTATAGATTCTTGATGAAAGTTGTAAAACTAAGACTAGCTTTTAAATTTCATATTTTTTAATAGCTCTATTCTTATATAATATGATTAATTAGTATAAAATTTTACAACTAATAAGAATTGTGAAGAAAGATAAAATCTTCTAAATCATAATTCTGCAATACTGATCAATAATAATATACAGCGCAATTTATTTAAAGAATTATTGGATGAAAATTAATCAAGGATAAGCTAAAATTTAAAAGAGAAATGACATATGATAAATGAAAGCTGGTGACAAATAGTCAATTCTCAGTTCAAAGAGAAAACTGGTACGACAAAGATGAATTTACCACAATTATAAAAGAAGTAACAAACACGATATGTCGCAATAAACATGATCCATTTCGATTTACTTATTTATCATTGCTGAGAGATAACTATGGAATTTACAAAATATATGTATGTAGTAGAAGTGATTTTTCCACTGAAAAACTATAAATAAGTAATTTGAAATAAGCCTAAGCTTAGCACGATGATACGAATCTAAAAAAAAGTTATTTTCGGTGATATGAAAAACATTAATGGATTGATTATTTGGTTTATTATTTTTAGATTATCACTTCTAAGTCGATGAAATGGGTGAACAATCATTTATCGACATAAATGCAAACTAATTATTGCTACGATTTGAAACTAATCAATAGGTCATGAAAAAGATACCGTTATCTAGAAAAGATATGATACAAGAAATTAAAGTAGAGAGTAAACTGCTTACCCTAACCTATCAGTACACTAATTAGCTAGTTAACAATAAACTAATTGATTGATCAATTAATTGATTGAGATTAAGCAAAAAAAATTCATGAAATGATGAAAATAATAGCAACAAAGCGGAATAACATTGGGAATTTTCCTTCAAGGAAATATTTCAAGTATTAAAATTTAATTAACATAGGCCTATTTGCATTTCACTTAAAAGAGATAAAATGACGACGGTGAAATATAATTTCAAATAATAAAGCTTATTAAATATTTAAATTTAATTTAACAATATTTCTTCTCTTCCCTGAATAAGAAAATTGCCGAACTGAATGAATTAATTATGCCATTTATCAATAAATTGTATTGCTTATGTCAAATTTTTGCATCTAGAAATGATTGATTTTTATTACACTAAATGCGTTGTGTAATTTACTTGAATCATTTAAAATTCCACGATTATTACATTAATTTTAGGGCAATTCAAAAATAAATAAAGGAAGAAAAAAACCGGATTAAAAATAAATATCAAAATGATGGTTGAAAACTCATACATTTTCGTAAGCTTTTGCTAAGATTGAAAAAAATGGTGCTATAATTTGCTTCTCTAAATATATCAAACAATAAAATTTAATTAACGAATTAATTGAGTAAATTAATTGGAATATTGAATATACGCAAATCTTTTCACTTAATACAAATCATAACACTAAACTACCGCTTTTTAAATCAAATGATCTTTAATTATTTGATCAACAATTCCGATTTTTCTTGAATTAAGCATTTCAGTTCTAAGTTTAATGTAAATCCAAATGAATAGTTTGAAGCTGCCCAATATCATTTAAGATAGTATTCTTATCACTTACTGTGCATAATTTTTGAATAATCTACATGAAATGATAGAAATTAATCATATTCTATTGGCAAAAAATTTAATATCAATTTAATTGAAAACTTTAAATAACATTCATCAACTGAAGAATAGAAAGATATCTTACAAGTAATTCAAAAGCAAAAAAAAAAGTGCTCATGTTGGGAACGGAAGCAACAAATGTATTGAATCTAAAGTTAGGGTTCCATTTTGACGTAGTTTACGTTTTCATTTTCAATGGATTAAATAAAAATTAAATTAACTAAATTCAAGGAAAATACACGCTGCTCACGTTTACAACTTTAGACGAGATAAAATCAAAATTAAAAGTTTTGCTTCAGTATAACTCATATATAAACAGACTAGATTGAAAATAAACGAACCGAATCATTTTAACGCAGCTCACTTCTCTAACCCATTCTAAATGAATTAGACTGAAAGGTTTCCATTTTGACGTGACTCACGTTTACAGTTTAGACGAGTTCGAAATTAAAAGTTTTCTTTTGACTAGTTCGCATTCGAACAGACTACATCAAAACCTAGCATACGTCTTTAATCCATTCTAAATGGACCAGAAGTGAAAATAAGAGTTCCATTTTGACGTAGCACACGTCCCTAATCCATTCTACGTAGACTGAAGGTGAAAGTAAGACTTCATCTTTGACGTAACTACCCCTCCTATTCTGCTTTCTATCGCCACATCCGTGTCATCCGTAAAATATTCTTAAATTTCACAAAGTCCCATTTCACAATTTTCGACAAGAGTGCAACGTGTTGGTTTCAGACATTTAAGAGATAGCAAAATCACGGGGTGATTAGAGATTGAAAGGATTTTGAGGATTTAATCACGATGAAGTATATTCATCGACAAGAGGCAGAGGAAGCAGAGATTGAGAGGGAAAAAAAGATGCGTTATTGGAGAGAGTAGAGGTTGAGGGTAGAGATTAATAAGTATGTTATGGATTGAGAGGAATAATTGCATGTATGTCGGAATTTTTTGCATCCAATTGACCTCATTTTATTCTTTCAGTTACATTAACTCTCATCAAAATTAATTCATTTCAAATTATTGTAAAATTAAAATGAACTATCTGAATTTTTGGCTAAAATTAAAATAAACTATCTAAAAAATTTGATTTTGAAAAATGGAAGGAAAAGTGATCCATACGGGAAATTTTTTGTCCAATTCTATTTAAGTGCAAAATGTTAGCAAAAAGTTACACTTGCATTATAATGTATTTAATTGATTCATTCATACTTGTTTTGAAATTTTATTGAAGCAATTTTGATTTGCAAAGAGAACAGTTGACATCGGATGGGAAAGATGGGTTTGTTTGAGAAATTTTCGGATGAAATATGTTCATCATTAAAAGTAATCATCGTTTGGTAATTTTATAAAATCGGCGTAATTTCAACCAATACTTTCGTTACAGCATTCACGCAATGGATGTAATTGTAGAAGAGGGCAGATTAATATTTAGGATTTATCAGGTTATGAGAATTTTATGAGAAGAATTATCAGATATATCGTCATCGCAAATTAAAATATATGTTGTGACAATTATTATATTCAATATTTTGTTAGTTTCAGCCGGGAAAAAGTATTTAATTCGGTATAGATTGCAAAGATGACTGCCAAAGAAAGAAGGAAAGTGGCGGAACTTCTGGAAATGGAAGCGAAGATTCAGAAGTTATGGTCAGATGCAAAAGTATTCGAAGTAGATGCTTCCAATGACAAGTAATTGTATATTTGAACCATTATCAATTATCACTTTTTTTAATTCAATTTTCAGGTCTTATTTTTTTATAATGGTTCCGTAACATCTTTATTACAAAAACAAATTTCAGGTCTGAGCCGAAGTATATGGCGAACATACCATATCCTTACATGAATGGTCGTCTTCATTTAGGTCATTCTTTTACGATATCTAAATGCGAGGTTCGCTTTACTCAAATATTGTCATATTTAGTTAATAACTCTGTATAAACTGAAATTTTTTGTCACTATTAGAATTAGATCCCCGAGAAATATCGAACAGAGTGTTGTATTTTAGATTTCAAACTAACTTTTCATCAAAAAGTGCTCGTTTTTGTAAGATTTGCTATGTTTCTATTAGAATTTTTTCAGTTTGCGATAGGATTTCAACGATTAATGGGAAAACGGTGTTTGTTTCCCTTTGGTTTGCACTGTACTGGAATGCCAATCAAAGCCTGTGCTGACAAACTAAAGAGAGAATTGGAACAATTCGGATATCCACCACATTTCCTGGATGATGATAACGATTATGAAGTGCTAACCGAGGAGAACAGTACCATAGATGAGATTATTAAAGATAAAAGCAAAGGGAAAAAGGTTTCTGTTTATTAGTGTTTCGAATTTTCGATTTCTCTCTTTTTGTTGTCATTGTCAGTTGTGTCGTACGCTATCTATATTTTCAGAGTAAAGCCATCGCAAAAACTGGAACAGCGAAATATCAATGGAAAATTATGAAGATGCTGGGCTTAGACGATTCAGAAATCATCAAATTTACAGATGCGAGCCACTGGCTTGATTACTTCCCACAGCACTGCATTAACGATGTTCAAAAAATGGGTCTCAAGGTTGTCATTTTGAAATTATTGATGAGTCGAATAATTTGAATATCTGTATATGAAGCGCTGTTCTGTTGTTTTTTTTTTTTTCATTTTTATCTGCTAAGATATTTATTATTCTTGAGGGCAGTTTATTTAGGTTGATTGGCGACGTACATTTATTACTACTGATCGTAATCCTTATTATGATTCTTTTGTTTGCTGGCAATTTCGGAAACTTCGTGAAGCTAAAAAAGTTGATTTTGGTAAACGTTATACAATATATTCCCCAAGTGATGGGCAACCGTGCATGGATCATGATCGATTGGCTGGAGAGGGTGTTGGGCCTCAAGAATATACACTCATTAAACTGAAGGTATCGGGATTAATTAAGTTTTATGAATAGTCCCTTTTTTATGATATTTGTTATTTTTTTTAAACTACTATTTCAGATCCTTGATCCATTACCAGAGTTATTTGCGAAAAGTGGAAAGAATGTTTTTCTAGTTGCTGCAACTCTAAGACCTGAAACAATGTATGGACAAACGAACTGCTACATTCACCCGGATATTGAGTATGTATCTTACTTTTCATCAGAAATTTAAATAAATTTAAATAGAGCAGAAGTTTTGACTGACACCAATTGATAGTTTGTTACTTCTTTCCATCTTGAATGTTCCCAATGCATCCGGACTTATAGAGCTGTACGAATTGTGAACTCTAAATTTTGAAATTTTAACTTAGTATTTTCAGTCTGATTGTTTTGTATTTTTATTCAAGGTATTGTGCTTTTTATGCTGGTCGAAAAGAAAAAGAAGTTTTTATAGCAACAAAAAGAGCTGCAAGAAATATGAGTTACCAGGAAATGACTGCTGAAAACGGAAAAATACGATTTGTTGATGGTGCTGAAAAAGTTCGTTTTTTCTTTTATTAATTTTACTGTTTCTTTACATTGCTCATTATTATAATATTTTCAATAATGTTTTAACTTTCTACAGATAATTTTACTTGAAATTTATTAGATATCAGGCAAAGAGTTGCTTGGTTTGGCATTAAAAAGTCCTCTGACGAAATATGATCGTATCTACTCGTTACCAATGCTAACTATCAAAGATGACAAAGGTTAATTTATTTTTTTTAATGATTCAGAAAGTAATGTATGTTACTATCTCATCACGGTCAAGCGAGTAATTTTTCAAAGAATTGAATTACTATTGATAAAGATTTTCTCTTTCTGTGCATTTACTACCATAGTAGACTTTTATTTTGAGCACTTGCATTTTTTTACATCTTAAGAAATATTTATTCATTATGTGCTTAAAGGCACTGGTATTATAACCAGCGTACCATCCGATTCACCAGATGATTTTGCGGCTTTAATGGATTTAAAGAAGAAGAAGCCATTACGAGAAAAATTTAATCTAAAGGATGAAATGGTACTGCCGTATGAGCCGGTAAATTATGCGCTCTTTTGATTAACATTTCTTGTAGTTGATTTTTCACTAATTAGCGTTACAGTGCTTTCCGTTGTAATAAAAGAAGTGAATCATTGTGGACTTCCTTAATTAGGATATAGCCAATGCTACATCGATAAAATTTCATGTTAGACGTAATTTTTATAGATTCCAGTTCTGAAAATACCGGAATATGGAGAAATGGCCGCCGTGCATCTTTGTGAAAAAATGAAGATTGAAAGTCAGAATGATCGAGACAAATTAGCAGAAGCTAAGAAAGAAGTATATCTGAAAGGATTCTACGATGGCGTCAGTATTTGATATGTTAATTGTTGTATCTTTGTTGTAACATATCGAGCTATACATAGAAAATTATTTGTCATATTAAGTTAAATTTGAGAAGAAAATTTTCAGGTAATGGTGGTTGGTAAGTATGCTGGGCAGAAAATTGCAGATGTAAAGAGAAAAATTCAGGAAGAATTGATTGCATCTGGAGAAGCAGTATTATTTGTTGAACCGGAAAAGAAAGTTATATCACGTTCTGGTGATGAATGCGTCGTAGCTTTATGTGACCAATGGTAAGTTTCGTTATTTGTTTAAAAAAATATTAACTTCACAGGCAATGTTGATTATTCAATGAGAAATAATTTATTTTGGAGGATTAAGGAATTTTATACTCGTAACAATATGATGAGTGCATTCAGTAATTATCAAAAAAAAGAGAAACGAAGATCCTATAGTTGAAGAATACTATTTTACTGTTTTACCTTCTGATAGGATTTATATCTTATTTTAAAAAAATATATATAGATGAGATAATTTATTTTTTTTCTTTTTTTTGCAGGTATTTAAATTATGGTGATGAAGAATGGAAGAAGGAAACAAAAAAGGCTTTAGCTCAATTGAATACATATACAGAAGATGTAAATTTTTAAGAGGAAATTCTAGAATATTTAATCGTTATAAACAAATATTAATTGGTTTCTGATTGATTTGTTTGTTGTTAGGTGCGAAGAAATTTGGATGCGACGATTGACTGGTTACATGTGCATGCTTGTTGTCGATCATACGGTTTGGGTTCAAAATTACCATGGGATCCGCAATATCTCATTGAATCGCTTTCTGATTCAACGATATATAATGCCTACTATACAGTAGCACATCTTCTACAAGGTGGTGGTATTGATGGGAGCATCATCGGTCCTGCTGGAATCAAGTATTTTTTATAAATTTATGTAATTACAGTTAACTTGTATAGTAATGCGATAATTTTTTATTTGCAGAGCATCCGATATGGTTGATGATTGTTGGGATTATATATTTTTAAATAAGCCTTACAATGCCAAAACAATGCCTGTCCAAGAGTCGCAGTTAGCCATGTGCAGAAAGGAGTTTCTGTACTGGTAAGTTGTTCATTGCATATTTCGGTATCGCATGTACTGGAAATAATTAAATTATTTCTTTTTGGTACATTCTTTACATAGGATTTCATGCAGGGCGATGTAAAAAATATATTAAATTTTAGCTTTTATTGATGAATTTGATTAATTCAGCAGAAGCATATTTAAAATTATGAAATTTTATCAGATACATCAAACTATCATTTGTTTATAATTCGAATTCTTGTGAATTTTTTAGGTATCCGGTTGATATGCGTGCTTCCGGTAAAGATCTTCTACAGAATCATCTTACTTATTATTTATTCAACCATGTTGCCATCTGGAAAGATCAGCCTGAGTTATGGCCTAGAAGTATACGAGCAAATGGACATTTGTTATTAAATAATGAAAAGGTTCGAACAGTCACTGATCTAGTTTACATGTATTTATATCTAAACATACAACTACAAAAATATGTTTTTATCAAATATTTTTTTGCTTTTATTACTTACTGTACACATTTCTGAAATAAAGCACTTCAGATGTCCAAACAAACAGGCAATTTCCTGACTCTTAGTGAAACTGTGAAGATGTTTTCTGCCGATGGAATGCGTATTTCTCTGGCCGTAAATTTTTTTACCAAATTCTTTTTTAATTCAAAACTGACAAATGTGGAATTCGTCGTTTTGAACTGATTATTTCATCATTATTTTCTATCATTTTCACGACAATGTGTCACTTGGATTAAATCTGAGGATGAAATTCATATATATTATTTTGATATTTATTCAACCATTTCGTCTTTAGAAGATATAGTTTTTGCTCTTTACTCAGTAATTAACTTTCAATTTTAGGACGCAGGGGATTATGTAGAAGATGCGAATTTTGTTTATGATATGGCTGATGCAGCAGTATTGCGTTTGTACAATCTCCTTGCATGGTCACGTGAAATGGTTATCTTACGGGAACGTGGTGATTTACGTAGTGGACAGGAATTCACTTTTGCTGATCAGGTTTTCGACAATGAAATGAATAGCGCAATTCACAAAACCTGCTGCAGCTATGAACAAACTTTTTTCAAAGAAGTTTTAAAACATGGATTTTTTGAATATCAGGTAGCTTCGATGGGATTTTTTCCAGAGTTTTAATGCAAATTGACAAAATATCAGTTGTAATTTGTGTATGATTATTTTATTGATATTGCTGTACTCAGTATTTTACTTATCTCAAATCTGTCAATGCTTAAGAATGTACGGTGTACTGAAATGTGAAGTGAGCGTCAGCATCGCAAACTGCATCATGTAATATAAATGGTTAACTTAGCTAATAGAAATTTTATACTTCGTTTTTTTTTACCGAATCATTCCGAAATATTATGATACTTTTCAGAGTTATCGTGATAAATATCGCGAGTATTGCGGAGGCGATACGGAAATGCATGTTGATATGGTTTTCAAGTGGATTGAAACACAAGCAATTATTCTTTCACCAATTTGCCCTCATGTATCTGAACAAATATGGCAGATGTTGGGAAAGGTTTTTATAACGATAGAATATCTGACATCTGTGTTTATTAGCACTAGTAATATTTTTGCATACTATTTGTTGTTCAAAAGGGAACGAAATTAATCGTCAAGCATGTTTAATTTTCAGGACGGCTTTATCGTATGCGCAAAATGGCCTGTTACTCCACCTGTTGATGATCTGATAACGAAAAAAGCCGAATTTTTGGATGGTGCAATCAGGGTTTGCTCTTAAATTATCCTGAATTGATGTTTATTGATTATTTTACTTTTATTGAAAAATGATTTCTTTTTTGATAGGTTGTAGCATCATTCCATGTTGGAATAAGTTTTGATTCGTTTGCAGGATTTCCGATTGCGTTTGAAAAATCACATGAATTTGAAACAAAAAAAGAGTAATGATACAAATCCGCCGTCGGAAGCAGTGATATATTTCACAGTAGAGTATCCAACTTTGCAAAAGGAAGTGCTTGGCTTATTGAATCAGTATTATCAGGTATGATTTATTTTTTTTATTCTATAAGTTTATTACTTCGGACTACTTTGATTTATTTCATTTTTTTCTAAAACAAATTATATATGGGGAAGTTGTCGTTGTCGTTCTGTTATCTTTAACTGTAGTTTCTAATTATTTAATATTGTTATAGGAAGGCAATGGTATGTTACCAGATAACAAAGAGATATCTCGTCGATTAGGTGCAATAGAGAATTTGAAGAAGTTTATGAAAAAGACGATGCCTTTTGTTCAAATGATACGTGAAAATTTAGCAATATACGGTGAATCAGCTTTGGATATTGCTTGTCGATTTGATCAGAAAGAAGTCCTGGAGCAGGTTGCTGCGTTATTTGTTTTTTTTCTACTAATTACATTTGTCGATGGATTTCTTTTTGCAAAATTTCGTTTAAAACTTAATATTGCAATTCAGTGCTAGTACCTTACCTATCTGCACTAATTATATGTTTTATCTGTTCCAGAATTTGGATTACATATTATCAACTTTGGACCTAGAAAGGGTTACCATTACTAATGTAAAAGAAGTAGTATCAGCAAATGTGGTAGAAATGACTTATCCTGGAAGACCGATCATAATGTATAAAGAACAAGAAGTAAGTTCGTTTATTTCACTCATTTTTTAATATTTCGCAGATTCTCTATGTGTTTTGCGATACTTTCTTGATAAATTTTGAGAATAATTAGTATTTTTTATCAAATAATTGAGATTTGGACTTAGTACTTTGTCCATTATAGCCTGGTATTACCATTGTGTTTCGAAATGTGGATCCTTGCTCTGGTCTGTTTGACATTGAAATTCCGATTATAAGTGGTGACACTACAGCAGTTGTTATCCGTCGTTTGAAGAGACTTTCAAAAGATATTAAGCGTAAGTTTTAATTTTAATATTTTAGTAATTCAAGCATTTCAATTCATTGTATGGGAACTATTTATACAGTTTGAGGGGAATCTGCTTATTTGAATTTGCAATGGTGTTTTAGAAATGGCTCTGAAAATGTTTCTTTCAGCTAAACAATCTGTTTCTTTATGGCGATATGTGGATCCTTTTGGTGGTGATAGGAAGTTGATAGAATTAAAAAATCCTTTAAAAAACAACGAACGTATCCCTGATTCTGGTAAGCTTTGCTGTTTTAAAGAAAATTAATGTTTTAAATAGGTGTACATATTTAAGTTTAAGTTGGAGGAGGTGATTGTGGACAGAATTTATTTGCAGCACAGTTCAAGGCAGATATACAAACTGGAAAAGTTTATCTGCAGAATAATGGCAATACATTTTATTTGGGCGGCACGATAGTATATAGAAGTTCCAGTTAATCATTACATGTTGTTTTATTGTATCATTTTAAGGATGGCAAACTATTTTACGCTTGGTTCTTCACTTCGAAGAAACTATTTACTGTGACATTGTTCTTTTTTTATGACGAAAAATGACAGAGGTTGTTATTCCCTGTCAACTTTTAATCCTGTTGTTACCGTTATTTGTTGATGCTTTGAATTTTGTTTATGTATCTTTCTACTTTTTCTTTTTGTTTTTTCTGCTTTTCATTTGTCAAGTTTTTACATAAGCTTGTTCAATTTTCTTACTTAATTTCCAATTACGAAAGGCTGCAAATTTTATGAATTTAACTTAGTGCCTTCAGAGTACTTATTCTCAACCATTTATAGATTCTGATTTCATGTTTTCTGTTGCTTCTTCCAATTTCAGTTTGTTTGCATAAGATTGACACCAATAAAACTATAGAAGCGAAACTGTTATTCCATTTACTTTAACCTTTTCAAGTAAATATGATTAATTCATGTCGTTTATCATCCATTCTCTGTAAATTCGGAAAACAGTGTTTTGACAACTTTTTATTTGCTCATAATGGTGAATGATATTGAGGTCATTTCTACTTGTTGAATACAAAATAAAGATGGGACACGGAGAAGGAATAAGAATTATTGTTGGAACCTTTAACTTATAATTATTCTGAGGAATTATTTGCTGCTATCCAACACAATTCGAATCTTTATACTATTCCAGGCAATAGTAATTGGTTTTGATATAATTTGTAATAGAAATAAATTCGCATGGAATATGATGAGAAGGTATACCCTTCCGTCACACCATCATTTTTACAGCAGATAGTAGCTGCTTCATCGGGTGCTCTCATAACCTCGCTGTTAAGTTAGTTTTTTCATATTTAATTAATTATTTGTTATAAAAACTTAGCTTCTGAAATTTACATAGAATTTTAATTTTCTTGTGCTCTGGATGTGTTTTTATCCGTGATACATTCGTATTTTTTTTTTCGTAAGCATAATAAGATTTTAATAAGATTTGGAATTGTGGCTGGTTAAATCTGATTAATGGCATAAAGTGCTAGTCAAACGTTTGTGTATTGTGATGAAGAAATTAACATTTTAATTGATGAATGATGACTTTTGTAAAATTGGAGAAAAAAAAACGACTTTATCCATCATGTTAATCACGGCATACGTCTTAATTCATTCCTCCTTCACATTGTCCTTCCTATCCACTTTGAGCTTGTTAGATATGATGAAGGTTATATTTTACCTAATTTCGTTATTTTCTTTTAAAATAATCAGTCGTTTTATTAATTTCTTTTTACAAATCGCTTTCGGTTTCGTATAATTAAATTTTAATTCATTTCAGTGACACCAATGGATGTCGTAAAAATACGGCTGCAGCAACAAGCGCATCCTTTCGTTAAAGGCACTTGCTTCCTATACTCCAATGGTTTGATGGATCATTTGTGTACAGCTTGTGCTAATGTAAATTCTAAGGAACCGTGCGAATGGTTCGCAAGACCGGGAAATTTTGTGGGAACAACGGTATTTTTTTTATCAATAAAATTTGAAATTTTAATAAGAGCATTTGTTGATCTTTGCTGCTACTGCAATAACTCCATGTAAGTCAAGGAAATGTTAGAAGACTCCAAAAATATTATTATTTTACTAAGTTTTCAGGATGCACTATTTAAAATTGCGAGGACAGAGGGAATTCATTCGTTATGGAGCGGGCTTTCCCCGACATTGTAAGGAAATGAAATTTTTTCTTTATTTACTATTTAATTCTGGTTAGTGGAGGATTTAATTCGATCGGTATGCATAAATCAATAATATGTAATATTCAAATGAAACAGTATATTCAAATCTTAGAATTATGGCTGTACCGGCGACAGTACTTTATTATACAATTTACGATAATATGTTGTGCTGGTTGAAAGAGAAATATGATCAGAAATCTTACTGGATTCCCCTGGTTGCTGGCTCTACTGCTCGTCTGGTTGCTTTAACCATCGTTTCTCCAATGGAATTGGTAAGGACAAAAATGCAGAGTGAACGACTTACATATAAAGGTACAATGTTTAGATTCAGAGAGATATTAAAATCAAAATCTCAAATTTCCAGATGTGCTTTTAAAATTCAGCACTTGTTTTCATTTAATTATATGTGTGTAGGAGATATGAAGTTAATTATGGCATTATGATATTGTAAGCACGAATTGGTTATTAATGAAACGAATTAAGATTAAAAGTAAAGTTTTAATTGTATTTATTTGAATAGTAATGCATTCCTACATTATTGTCTATAAGCAAACTAATGTGGTTTTAGCTTAGGAAAGTTCAGTTACTTTTTAGACAATTATTATTTTTTACCGTTAAAGCTGGCGTGTAAGTTTAAAGCATAATATGTTCAGCATTAAATACTCGTCATAAATATTATTTTTATATTCTGCAGTTTGCTTTGCTTTCAGATATTGGATTAGCTGTTCAACGATCGAAAGCAGCTGAAGGATGGATTAGTTTATGGCGCGGCTGGAGTCCCTCATTAATGCGTGATATGCCATTTTCTGGTTTGTGGTCTTACATTTAATTAATATTCTATATTTTCCATAGTATTTGGGAAGGTAGTAACGTATTTTACTTAACAAAGCAAATTGCAGCTGTATATTGGACAGGATACGAGAATTTGAAAGCTTATGCCTTACACAGATTAAAGCAGCAGGAAACTAATTTCATGATCAGTTTTATGTGTGGTGCGGTAGCTGGTTCATTGGCAGCATTTGTAACAACTCCATTTGACGTCGTTAAAACTCATCGTCAAATATCCTTAGGAGAGGTTATAGTTTATCCATTTTTTTTTTCAGGTTTTATTTTTTTTTAAAAAAAGACGAAATCTGACTTATGCTTTTTGTCATAATATGAAATTTGGGACAGTTAGGCAGAGTTAATCAATGTACATAAGATTTACATGTGAAAAGTTAGAATTGAACTGCCAAAAGTCTAATCCTTAGATGAATTAAACGAATTGGTTTGATGGTCGGCATTTTTCGTTTAATATAGCTTGTGATATTTTCAACATTTTTTCGACGAGTTACAAAAAATGAATTCACAATAATTCCGACAATTTATTTTTTGTAATTGTAGTTGTACATAATTGTGGGAATGATTAAACTCGTTGTGTTTGGTAAATTGATGCCACCAATTTTTTTAGACACGAAATGTAAAGGAGATAAAGAGGTACGACAATGGGGGTATGAAAATGACAGAAAATTATGGCAGTAATACGATTATCACGGAAAAGCGTGTGGAAATTCGATCAAGATACTCTTTTGGTATTATGAAAGAACTTTATGAAAAGAATGGAGTCAGAGCTTTATTTGCGGGTAATTTATAATTATTTGTTTTCTGAATAAAGTATACAAAAGAAATATTTCTAAAATGAATCAAAAAATATAAACTCTTCAATTCTTACAATTCTTATGTATTCTTCTTCCATTCATTTTCTCCATTATTACAGGTGTGGTGCCACGTGTAACAAAAGTTTCGCTTGCTTGTGCTGTGATGGTAGGCAGTTACGAGTATTGCAAACTATTCTTTAAGAAAGTGAACAGTTTGTAATTATGTGAGTTACTTATATACCGGTTCATATTTTCTACTCTCGTCCAATATCAAATCCTCCAGTTTAATATTTGATAGTAAACTCAGATGTTGAACTCATCTTTTTGTTATTGTTTCATTCTGTTTGTGACTGATTGCTTTGAAGTAGTATTAACTTGGATTTATGTTTTTTTTTTTTTACTTTCATAAAAAGAATTTGTTGTTTTGCAGAAATTTTTACGGCCGTGAGTAACAAGACTATCTGGTCCTTTTATCTCCCAAATTTTGAAGACAGAGCTGGATAAAATTTAAACTTAAATCCTGATCTGAAATCATACGAAAGCATGGATAAATATCTAGATCAACAATCTCTATAACTGTAACCAATGTAGAAATGATTAGGATTATGGTAAATTTCCCATACTTATAGTTTCTAATGGACATAACGGATAAAATTACCCTCTTCCAGAATGTCAGTAAACCAGGAAGAGGAAATCTGTATTTAAGAAATCTATATAGCAACTACCAACATTTACAAAAAAAAGCAATAAGATTTATGTCAAACGAAATCCCAAACACAAATATATAATAATGTTCATGATAATGCTTAAATATGGAAGTAATTTGCAAAGAAAATCAGCTCATTTTATTGTCTCCTTAGAAACTTTATAAATGGATTCTACTTATAGCAATAACTTATAGAAGTTTGAAAAAATTAACTATCAGAATCATAATGATAAAAACTGATAACAATGAAAACCTGTCTCAAATTCTAATAGTTACTGAAAGAGGAAAAGGAAAAGGCCATTTCATCGTTACCGATTGGTCTTAAGAGATCAAGGCATAGCTTTAATTCTTTCCGTTTGGTCTTCAAGCTCTTTTGCAATTTCCGGAGGAAGATCTGAGCCAACCTGAAAAAAAAATGAATTCCATTGAAGTGGAACCATTTCAATGCGATATAACTTAAATTGCATAATACTTGAAAAAAGCCAAAAATGATCAACCTGTTGCTCGAAGAAATGTTTGGTTTCTTCCATGTCCTCTATCCAATACTTTTTCGGCAAAGACATCAATTCAGCCCAATTAATATTAGGAAGGCCAGTGAGATTAATTGAACCTAAACTTGCCATATTCTTTCTCGAGAGAAACAATTTTACACAAATTTTCATCAATACTCACAATAACAACAAAATAGCATTTCTTATTTATTTACTTTTTTTCCAATTTATTACCTTCTTTTGGTATGTAACCAATTGGTGACTCGAAGCCAATACTATCATCACCATCACATCGTCTTAGGATCCAGTCCAAAACACGAATGTTTTCACTGTAACCGGGCCATAAAAATTTCCCATCAGCAGTTGTACGAAACCAATTGACATGGAAAATTTTCGGTACCTTTAACAAATTCGAAACAATATTTCGTTTACAATGTTTTAATTCAGAACGTTTCATTTGTTGAACAATTAACAGTGAAGCATTATAATATGCATTCGTAGTGATTTGAAATAAATAATAAACCTGAAAAAAAAAAACAAGGAGAAAGATTTAACAAACCTTATGTGGTGGTTGTCCAAGTTTCATCCAATGACGCATATATCGTCCGAAATTGTAGCCCATAAATGGTCGCATAGCCATTGGATCATGCATAATTTGTTTGCCTAAATTAATGATGATAATTCAAATTTAACTGACAACAAAAAAGTTCCTGTTAGTAATGTATTTGAAATATTTTTCAACTATCACAGATTGCAATCCAGTCATTTCGATATGTAAAAGTTATAAATAGATAGATAGTCTAGAAATTAATTAATTTAAAAAAAAAGTTGATTGCACACCGGAAAATTCAGCAGCTGCAGTTGCTTCTGATTTTACGCATGCGCCCACAAAGATACCATGCACCCAGTTGCGTGACTCAAATACAAGTGGTACACCTTCAGGTCTGAAAGCAAAATCTTTACATATTTAACAAATCACTAGAATTTATACTGAAATTAATAACATTTGCGGGATTAAACCTTCCCTCCTTCTTCTCGACTATTTCTATCCTCAATTTGCCTTAATTCTCCCTCTCTCCCTCTCTTTCCCTCTCTCCCTCTCTTTCCCTCTCT